TTGAAGACTTTCCATTTTTCTAAACTCATACTTTTTACATCTTATGTTTGTTTTGTGTTTTTATCATTTTATTGGGCGCTCTTACTGATGTTGTAACAATTTGTAATTTAATTGGATCATGCATGATTATGCAATTGCTTCCACCATCAGTTTCAAAACATTTTCATTCTTCTTGAACTCCTCGATATCAGCTTTCCTTTCTCCCTTCCCCGCCTATGAGCCCTTATTTTTATGTTATATATGTTATAAATTATTGTTATCCATGTCTTACACTGTCCAATGTATCCATTCACCTACAATTCTGTTATTTATTCTCCTCGAGTGGGATTGTACAGTCATTATTGCTATAAGCGCCCCCTTTCCTCCCCTGCCCTCTTCCCTTACCCCCAGAATCATTACCCCCACCCCCACTACTGTTTCTCAAGGGCTACCTATCCTGACTTTCATCCATCAATCGATCTTAGTTATTATACACCTGAGCATACTCATGTCTAACTAGGTTAATGAGGTAAGAGAAGAACCATAATAGTGAGGGGAGGAAATATTAAAGAAGTAAGGATAGTTGTGTGTTTCATCAGTGCTGTATTGCATTCTGGGTAAACATCCCTTCCATGTGGCACTTCTGTTAAGGGAGTTTGGGGCCTTTCTTTCTTTCAGGTGAGTTTTGGTCCTCCACCCTGTCCATGCCCCTTCGCATCTATTTGATTGCTTGTTTTGTTTTGTTAGTTTCATTGTTTTAACTTCTGATACCTATTCCACCAACACCTCATGATCACACAGGCTGGTATACTTCTTCCATGTGAGCTTTGTTGCATTCCTGCTAGATAGTAGTTTGTTTGACTTCAAGCCTCTAAGACCCCAAATGCTCTATCTCTTAATAGCCGGGCATCATCCACTTTCTTCACCATATTTGCTTCTGATGATTAGTGAATGTTTGCTGCTGACTCTTCATATTTTGTGTAATGCTCATAAACAAATGTTAGTCTGAAACTTTTATTCCAAAGAAGACCTCCTTCCCTGCCTTCGTCCTTTTATACATCCCTCTCATTCCATCTGGGAAACTTTTGGAGATTCTGCCACTAGAATTGGTTGTCACAGAAGACATGCTTTTCTCTTTTAGAATGTTTCATACAAGTTTCAAAGGCTCTTAGGCTTCAAAGTCAGGGAGAGACCAATAGTTGCACATTAGATGGCAGCTCTGACAGCCAGGGGGATGAAGCAAAGACAAAGTAAGAAGACAGACGGAACGAGTGAGCGAGCACAAGCTTAAAGTAAGGAGAGTCGCAGTGGAATATAGAGACTAGGGCAAGAATTGAGAAGTGAGAAGATGGGAAAATATGAAAAACTGAATTTATTGACATTGTTCCAAACTACTTCCAATAAATATTCTTCAACTCATAAGTCAGACTGTGAGTTCTAGCTTGATCATTTTGTCTGGTTTGTTTGAAATGTATTTGGAGGCTTGTTTGATGAAAATATTTTTCATATAAAAATCTGTACACACAGTTGTTTACAGATTCCACATTTGTGTTTTCAGCATCAGAATTTTATAAGATACAGTGATTAGTATGACTGGTTAACAAGTATTCATTATATCTTAAGGGTTTTTTTTGTGTGTAAATTGGGTGAAGATTTACAAAGCAGATCACTTTTCTTTTCAATAAATTGTACACATTTTGTTTCATGTCATTGATTGCAGTCCCACAATGTAATATCATGTCCCCCACTTCCCTCCTATATTGTTTCCATCCCTTCTTTCCTAACTCTTCTGGACTTTTCATTTTTCTTTGAGTAAATGCTGCCCTTTTATCTTATATAGTTGATTCTAGTAAGGTGTGTGTAAACTTTTCTACTGACAGGTTGAAAATTGAACCTTGGGGGTGAATTCATTTCCATACCAGAAGGGTGACTAAGGGCCATAATCTCAGGGGCTATATCAGTCTTTATCTTGCCAGTAACTATTTTTTATGATTTCAAATGTTGTTCCAATTTATTTTTTATCCCACTCTATCTAGTAGTAGCTGGGCACCATCTAGTTATTCTGTCTTTAGGGTGGTGGTGACTGATGTTCTCCATGATGTGACCCCTGAGTCCACTGTACTAAGTTATCCATATGAATTGATTTATTTTACTCTTCATTCCTTTAGACAGGAGAGACCAATAGTTGTACCATAGATGACTGCTTTTAAGATTTTTAGGTCCCAGAGTGGTTACGCTTTGTGTTGCTAAACAAAAGGTTTCAAACAAAAGGTTTGAAACCACCAGCCACTCCACAAGAGAAAGACTGGACTTTCTGCATTGAAAACCACAGTGGTAGATCTACCCTGCCCTATAGAGTTGCTATGAATCAAAATCAACTAGATAGAACTATGTTTTGAGTGAATGAGTCACTACTCATCTAAGTAGGATATAAAACATTGTCTTTGTAGGCTGTATCATACCAATTTATGTTAGAGCCCCTTGAGACTGGTCCTAAGGCTATAAGCCAAGCAACTCAATCTCCAAGATGTTTTCACGTCTAAAAAGTTTTTATAAATTTGCCCTGTCTATGATCTACCACATTTAAACCTATATATATTTGTGATTATATTCCCACTCTCCCATCACAAAGACTGATTACTCTTATATATAGAGTTCTGACTTAAATAGGAAAAATTTTTATGTCTATAAAGTTACCTTGTGAATATAAATCAAATTATATAAATCAAAAATAAGAAATTATAATTTCTCAGCCAGTATAACTTTTAAAAGGAGTTTTTCTGAAGTTTCTATCCTTAGATAAAATATATATAAAATAGAAGTAAGGAGGTAAAGCCAACTCTATTCAGCATCAGAAATTATTCATTGCTAAAATACATCAATAAAATTGACAAATTCAATTGCATTCAAGGACCTTATCCAGGATAATGAAATGAAAGAAGGCCATTTGCATAATTTCTATTCAAAAGTTTTATATTCTCCCTTGTTCACATCATTAATTTTAATTTAGCATACTTATCTGGTGAATTTTTTTCTTTGCACAAGAGGAGAATATTTCCCATATGTCTATATGAACTCATTACATGATAATTCTATGGACTGAGTAGTGTTTTATGTATAATAGCTGATACAAAAAATGGGTCAGAAACAGATTCTGACTTCAATGATCTTACAGTATAAATATGGGAACTACAATAATGGTAGATGAGTGAAAGAAAGGCAGCTCTAAAGTAGGTTTTACGCAAGCATATTTCAACAAAATAAGGCTCTGGGAGTGTGTGAAAGAAGGGCAGCACTATTGCCCTTATGCAGGCACTTTACTGCATTTCACAGATATTACTGTTTTCAAAATGTAAAGTTCATGGCAATCCTGAATCCAACAAGTCTATTGGTTCCATTTCTCAAACAATCGGTTCCATTTCTCAAACAGCATGTGCTCACTTCTGTCCATTTGCATGTTGGTAATTCTCACAAAATTTTAATCTTTTTTACATAATGCTGTTGTACATATAATCAACTCAGTGATTAAGAATTTTTATATGCACTGCAAAAAAAGAAAAAAATTGATTATTGTAATATTCACCTTATGGTGAAACTGACGCTGCAACATGACTAAGGTGTTGCAAATGTAGTATTTTCCAAAAATACTATAATCTACATAATTATAATCTATATAATTATAATCTACACCTATTTCAGTACCTTTTCTTTCCAATTCAGAGTGTGGAAGTAGTCTCTAGTAAGAATCCAGTAGAATCTAGACCACATTAATGTTATAGATGATTATGTGACTCAAATTCTCACACACCTTAGCCTCAATTTTATTTTCAGGCTTCCTAAATAAGGAAAATAGTCATGATAATGTAGAAATAATTTAAATCAAATAATTAATTTAAATGCATTACAATTTCATTACAGAAAACAATTGAGGTAGTTAGTTTATTGTGCCAGCCTGGCCAATAAACACATATGGGGTTAGTTGAAGGGTGGAGGGATAAATGGCTCAGTGAGCCTCGCCTTTCTAGTTCTCAGGTCTCTTGCTTTCTGATGGTCGGACCAGGGTGCATCTGCCTTAGCCACTTACCTGCTTCAGCTGGCAAGGCTAACTTCCTGCAAGATATCCCCAAGGAGAAGCCAGATGGGTCTACCCCGATGCAGCCCTGGGTGCTAGAGAAGCCATGTGGAGACCCCTGCCAGCGCTGAGATGCTTACATGATCCCTGACTTGGCTTCCCTCCTTCAGTCGGCATCATAGTGTGTGTTTTGTGAGATGGAGGAGGACTTTATGGATTGGTGTCGGACATATGGGTTAATGTTGGACTTGTGGGCTTGGGCAGCACTGGGTTGGGATGTTTTCTCTATGTGCACTTAACCTTTATATAAAACTCTCTCTTATACATGATTGTCTGGATTTGTTTCTCTAAAGTACCCAGAATGACACAGCAGTATTATAGATCTAAAACCAAAGCAGTTACTATGGAGTCAGTTTCCACTAATAGCAAACTTATGTATGTCAAAGTGACATTACACATAATTTTCAATGGCTGGTTTTTTAGAGTAGATCACCAGGATTTTCTGCTAACATACTCTTGGGTTGACTTGAACTGCCAGTCTTTAAATTACTAGTCAAAGGCTTAAGTTGGTATCATCAAGGTATTCTTATTGCACTAACATCACATTTAAAAGTTGAGGAAAATATTTTTAAAGGTATTAATATTTTGATAAGCATCTATAGGAACATTTCAATTATTAGCAACTCAAACTGGTAGATATTTCTCATCTTTGAGAGTCCATTTCTATTATTTTAGTGAAAAAACAAAAAGAATTACAATGAATATTGTGTGTCTTTTCTACAATTAATACAGTTTGAATTGACAAGGACCTGGGCTTTGGGATGAAACTTTACCAGTGTTGACTTATGGAACAGCTAAAGTCATAGGGGCGTTTAAAGATTATGCTCGGATATTTTAAATGTGACTTATAAAAAGACCTATTATTGTCTTCTTTTGTTTTGATTTCTAGTTACCAGCTGACCAGTGGATACAAGCCTGCTCCAATGGACCTGAGCTTCATAAAACTCACTGTATCCCAGGAAGCTATGGTGGACAAGTTGGCTGAAAATGCCCATAATGTGTGGGCTCGAGATCGAATCAGGCAGGGTTGGACTTATGGCATCCAGCAGGTACAAAAGACCTATGGTTCCAAAGCACGTAGACTGAGATTTGTTTTAGCAGGGATAAGCTTATTTCGTAGCAGGAAGGATTAAGTACTAATTGCTTTAAAACTCTTACCATATAGGATCTAATCTAACTGTCGTGTTAATCAACTTGTGTATATGAAGTAAACTGCCTTTTTAGGGCTGTACACAAGAAATTAGCTGGCATTTGTTCTGGTTATTATGAGAAAAATATAGTAGGTGCACAGTAGGTATTATTAGAACTGTGATTTATAACATGCTTTTATATTTTTTTCTTTCTGAGAGTGCAGTTTTGAGGAAATACTGGAACAAAAATTTGAGAAAAAATAATTCTTGGAAATTTCAGAGATCAAATTCCTTTTTTTAATGGTAATAGATCTCATATTATACACATTCAGTAGTGAAGCAGTCTGTAAATTAATATTTGTATAGCAAACAAAAGATTGGTCATACTAAGAAACAGACATAAAGATAATAAAAAGCTTTTTCACTAATTCAGAACAAGTTCTGCCACCAAATATATTTTCATTAAAATTAGTGGGGGCGGGGGAAACAGTAGATTATAGAATTGTCTGAATTTCAGAATTGGAGCTCAGTGGCTGTGTATCACTTTTGTGTGGGGTTAAGGGGAGAGGGGTTCCCCACAAATCATCAGGTAGGTAGGCGTACTTGTACAGCGATCATAAGTCAAGATTATAGTAAAGTCATAGAGAGCACGAGAGTTAGAGGAGAGATTGGAATAAATGGAGCCAGACACAATTTATGGTAGCATTGCTCACCTCAGCCTCGCTTGATGGTCCTCGTGGGGGGAACCTGGCCACGAGAGCAGGAGCAGCCTCGGGGACCAAGAACCATGGAGCCTTTTTTCTTTATTGCTAACCACACATTATATCACTTTAGGGGGACATGATTATAGAATCACATCACAGGAAGGGGCAGTACAATAGGCATACACATTGTAGCAAAGGGATCTGTGATAGGCATAAGTGGTGTAACAGGAAGGGGATGAGCTAGGGTGTGCCCATAGGAATGGGAAGGTCTAGGGGTATACATGTGACAAGATGGGCGGACCCTAGATTCATGATAGCAGCCTAATCTTGGTCATCCTTGGGCGGGGACCTCTCAGGTGTCGCCTACAAGGAAACAGACAACTACTATCCTTATCAGAAGGGAGTGGGCCCATTTTGTTGTGGGATAAACAGTGGTGTCTGCTTGGTCTAGACAGCTGTTAACTCTCAGGGAGAATGACCCCCAATCCACTCCTGATGACCTCCAAGTGTACAGTCATTCTCAAGCAGCTAAGTCTGGCATATATTTGGGGGAGACAACTTGGGAGAAATCCTTCTGTTTCCCATACTTTTGTTTGTGTGTGTGTGTGTCGAGGGAGTATTTGCAAGAGTAGCTAAATGTTATTTCATTATTGAGGCAGCAGAGCATAGAGGCGAAGAGCAAACATTAACCTGACTGATTGATGCATGAGACTTGGAGCATACTACTGAAATTCACTGTGTTACTGTTGTTCTGCATACATAAATTATTTAACTACATGACAGACAGTCCCAGGATTACATATGAGTTCCATTCCAAGTTGTCTTTAAGTTTCATTTTAGTAAATTGGAACACTTAGGTACAATTTGTATCTGAGGTCAGTCAAAATATTTTTAATAATGTACGTTTTTATGCATTAAAAAATTAAGAAACATTTCTTGATACATTAAAACATCTTTAAATTAAGAAGCATTTCTTGATACATTAAAACTTGTTAACGTCATTACATAACAATTATAATAATGTTTACATTCACATCACTAAATAGCACCTATTTATTATTATGAACCATTATTGTCCATATAGTTGTCCCTCTATATCTGTGTGCGATTGGTTCCAGGACCCGCTTTGGATAAGAAAATCTGCAGATACTCCAGTCTCTTATATAAAATAGTGTAGCATTTGCCTCACATGCTCTTACATACTTTAAATAATGTGTAGATTACTTATAATACCTGATATAATGAAGATGTTGTATAAAGAACACTTTGTACTCCTTTTTACCTATTGAAGGATTATTTTGACCACTTGGTAGCTTTTTTATTTTAATTTATTTTAATTTTTGATTTGTGACTGGTTAAATCAAAAGTTGTGGAAACAGTGGCTGTGGAGGACTGACAATAGGCACTCTTAATTTTTAACTAATATACACTTATATCAAGATATAGACTACCCCAATACTGCCTCAATAGTATAACAAAGGTAACTAACTTACTTCCAAATGGATTACAACCACTGGCATAGGTGTTGGGATTTATAATGTATATATTTTGGGGGACTCAATTCATTCCATAACATTCCACTTTTGGGGCTACAAAAAGCATGTTCTTGCCACATGCAAAACATTTGCCTCAGTACATTATTCCAAAAGTCTAAAATCAACTCCAAGTCTGAAATCTCACCTTCTTAATGCTCTAAATCAAATATGGGTTAATTTTGAGACATATTCCATCCTCATATAAAATTTCTCTTCATCTGTGATCCTGGGAAATCTAGAATACAGATTGTCTGTTTTCAAAATATTTGGTGGAACAGCTACAGAATAGGCATTTCCATTACAAATCGGAGAGGTTGGAGAAGTGCAACAGGAATGTTCAAAATCCAACAGAACAATGTCAAGCTTTCAAGACTTGAAAATAAACCCCTCTTCTCTGAGAATAAATATTTCCTTTGATCCCTATCCCTGCCATGCTTCTGGATAATTAGTGGAGGCCCTTGGCTCTGGCTTGCAACTCTATATTTCAGACTAACTAGAAGGGAAATTTGGCTCCCTTAGTTCTTGGTGGCCCCATTCTTCTAGTACATCTGTGTTGAAACCCCCTCCACCCTAGAAGGCCCCATTCTTCTAAAACTTGGGCATGGCAGCCCTACCCCCATATCTTTGGGCACTGGTCTCATGCTCTACTTATTATTATATGGCTTTGCTGGATATTTGCCCTCACAGAGTGATCATTGAAGAAATCGGTACTATAGCAAAATGTGATACTGCAGTAAAATGGCCCCTGGCAATCAGAAACAATAGCATCTGGGGTCTTAAAGGTTTGTCTTTAAACAAGAGGCCATGTAAGTGATATGTCAGCTAAGTCCAGATATAAGGAGTATACCAGCCCATGTAATCACAGGATCACAAGTAATAAAATCTAAAACCAAAGGAGGGAATTCTGTTAGAGCTTAAATTCTGAGCACAAAGTGTTCAGGAGTCTGTGATGACAATGAATGCCCCAAATCTATTCAGAATCCCCACATGGATTAAACCTCCACTGAACTTCTTCAGCCCATTAACTAGAGAGGTTAATAGTCTTATTCTTAGACTGTTCAATGGAAAGTAGGTTACTGAAAATAACAGGTTAAAATGCAACATCATACCCTTTGTTTTTCTTCTTGATCCATTTATAACTTGTTCTAATTTTTATTATTTTCTGCTTTTGTTTGGATTGAGGTTTTTCTTTTATTTTGTTGGTTTCTTTAATATGATTTATTTTAAGTGGTTTTATTGAAATATAAATGACATATCAAACAATTCAATAGTTCATATTAAGAATACTTGTACAATTTTCATCACAATCACCTTTAGAACATTTTCTTCATGTTTGAACCCATTGCCATTGCCTCCCACTCCCCTTCAACTCCCATTTCATACCCCCAGGTAATTATTAATCCAGTTACTGTTTATGTATCCACCCATCCTGAATTCCCTATACAGAAAAGCATACAAACCTAAGACAAACAAACAAACCTAGTAAGAACGAATAAATAAGACAGGAAAACCTCAATCAAAGAAAAAAAATTGTGAAAAAACTGAAATAAATTGAAAATGGGTCTAAATGGAGTTCAAATGACAAGATGGTACATTCCAGCCTAAATACAGCAACTAAAGTCCAATTTAAAATGTGCTTTGTCTGATTTGAAGCCTATTCACTGGAGACTCATTCCACACAGGGACACTAAATATTAGACAGAGTTCATTGTTATGTAAATTTCAGCTTCCAGCTCTCAGAGAATCTAGGGAGCTAACTAATTGTGAGAACTTCTTACCACACTCAGGATGATTTGAAAGACTGAAAAGATTCTTTTTTTTCCTTTTCAGTCAGCCAGTGTTCACATTTATTGATCCCACACACAACTAGCCAATGTGGTTTAAGACAGGATGTTTCAGATGGTGCCTGCCTTCAGGAAACTCTCCTTCAATCTAGCAGGAGAACATAATATTTCTTTTTTTTTAAATCATTTTATTGGGGTTCATACAATTCAACACAATCCATACATACATCAATTGTGTAAAGCACACTTATACATTTGTTGCCCTCATCATTCTCAAAATTCGCTTTCCTCTTGGGTTCCTGGAATTAGCTCATT